ACCCCCCCGGGCCCCCCCGCACTGTGTGTGTTCGTGCGCACCTCCAGCCTCAACCTCTGCGAGACCATTCCCACGTCCACAGTGACAAAGACGACCCGACGGCGGCCGTCGTCGATGATGAAGGCGCGACTGAACAAACGGGTGTGAATGCCCGCAGCCGTCTGCTGAGGGTTGGCGTAGCCCATCTGACGCACAAAACGCACACGCGTGAGCCGTTGCGACGCGGCCGACGGGAGGCGGCGCAAAGATAGCGAGTCAAAGCGACCAGAGGGAGTTCGGCGGGCGGTCCGGTGCAGTCGGCGCGTCCGACTCCAATCCGGAATGTCGGTTCTGGACTGGGGGGCGGAGTCGGGGCGGGACCTAGCGCAAGCATGAAAATCTTGAAGACGTAAACGTCGCAGTTTAACGTTAGCGGCGTACTCACAGGTGGTTGTGGGGCGCGTGGCCGTCATGGCGATGAGAGTGACGCTGACGGCCGTCATGACCGCAAAGAGGACGGCCAGCGTCGCCTCCAGCATGGACAGGATGCAACGTCTCCCTTCGGCCATTTTGTTGGGTCAAACCGGTGACGGGAAAACAACACGGCTGACACTCGGGTTTTGGTTCCAAAAGTCGTCTTCACTTTGCTACACGATAACGACACACAACACAATTAAAAACAGGCGCAGGCACATCAAAACACAAGACACGTGACAACACAAAACTTCACCCATTTCACGCAGCAGAAAATGCCGCCACACAAGACAACGATACAACACAAAAGTTTACGAGGCAAGACGAGCACAACTCACGCGTGACTCGGCGCTCGATGGCTGGCAGCGAGTTTCGCGGCGGACAGCGATATCGTGCGCTTCCCGGGCAAAGTTCAAGGTTGTAAAGCGACACTGATAAACGAAACTTGTTTTGCTTTTACGACTTAATTCGATCTGAATTAGTGGCACCACGTGTGTGTGATATCTTAGGCGTACGGCGCTGCGCAGATGCCAGCGAGGACCTCGATCTTACGTGGGAGTCTTGTCAACGCTGCCTTGCAAAAGTCTGAGCACCCCGAGGATGATCAATGGTCAGTGAGAAAGTCACGTACTTGCCTCATCAACCGTCAAGTTCTTCTGGAGGACTTTGCATGCGTTTGAAGATTCCACAAAGATGGCGGCTGCCGTCATGTCGATAGTCGACGTGTTCTTTGGTGAAAAGTGCCAAAAAATTGCCGGATGGCGTCAAGGCCATGTGGCTTTCGGGATCCACCTGTGCCCATGGGTCAGTCGCCAGATTTTCCTCGTCTTCTTCTGGGCGCAGGTTGGCTGGCGGACGTGACAGGAAGTGAAAGTACAGCCCGGGAGCCGCAAAAACCGTCGGTCTGCTTCGTTTTGTTAATCTGCCGTTCCCAACCGAGGTTTTACATAACCAAGTCCAAAAGCGTTGGATTTAATGTCTTCATTTTGCCTTTTTTTTCTTAAAAAACGTACAATGAGTTTGGGAATGCTCAAGTTTTATTTCCTTCAAGTCAAAAAACATCTTCAATTTACAAATTTGACAACGAGGCGATTTCAAAACCGTCCTGAAATCTTCCCGATCGCCCATCGGACGAGGTCACTTCCGACCCGTCCGAGAACGCAGCTTGCGCCTGATGATCATGTGATCACTTTCCTTTTCACTTGGGTCTGCAACCGCCGCGCCCGCCTGAACACGCAACACAAACACGCGTCAAGGGAGGAGCCGAGCGCGTGTGGGAAAACGCACGCGCGGGCGCACGCACTGACCGGATGTGGCGACGTTTGAAGCACCGCGGCTACTCCCTTCCCGTAAAGTTTCCTCCGCCCTCGCTTGGGTTTGGTTGCCATGGTGACAGAGTGTCCCAAATTGCTTTCGGCTGAGTGCGACAAACAAATGACCGAGTGAATGACGCAGCGCTCCCTGCTGGTCACAGTTGCAAATGTCGAGAGATTCTCACCTGGGCCGCTCAGGACGGAGGGAGACGGCGGAAGCGGTGGGCTGGACTGGACTGCGGAGGACGGCGGCTCCTACCCGTCGAAGAAGATTTGAGAAGAACAAGAAGGAAAAGCAAAAAAGAAAGACAGGAAGAGAATGAAGAACAAAAGGTGGCTTCAGGCTCCTCCCAAGCAGGAAGTAGGTCAACCCATCACGGCGCACGTCTCACCTGCGTCACGTTTCTGATGTTCGCTTGCTTGTTTCGCTTGCTGTCACTCGACCGCAAACCCTGAACATACGCACGCACGCACAAACATGTCAAAGTTGGCGTTGGAAAATATTTCCTAAAGTTTCTACGTTTCCCACCTCCACTTGGCAGCTTTTCCTTTTCTTCGGTGCGCTTTGGTCTTTTGATTCGGCGCCGTTCAACGGACAGCAGAACTGCGTGCACAGCAACGGATCCTGCACACGCGTGTGCGCACACACACACACACACACACACACACACACACACACACACACACACACACACACACACACACACACACACACACACACACACACTTGTTATTGTGACGTCGTCATCGTCGTCATCATCATCATCATCATCATCATCATCATCATCAGTGGGCGTGTTGTCATGGTGACCTGCAAAAGCGCTTCCTGTCTCCGCCTCTTCCGGCTGTCGTGCAGCTTCTGAATTTCTTCCTTGAGCTCCTCCACCAGGGCCAGCGTCCCCATCGTCGGGTTCTCCTTGTTCTCAATCCGCTCCGACTCCTCCTGGTGCCGCCGCGCTTGGGCCTTGACGCGCTCTAGTTCTGATGGCCGGAAAAGCAAGCGCGGAGAGTTACCAGGCAACCGGCCACTCGGGAGACGTCATCCTCACCTTGTCTCATGGCGTCCGCCTGTTTCTCGAGGTCTTCGACGAGCTTTTCCTTCTCACGCAGGACACGCTGAAGATCTGACGGGTGCCCACACACGCACGCACGCACACACACACACATTAGGAGACCAACAGGACGTGCACATGCAGGCACGCACTCACCTTGCTGTCGCTTGACATCCTCCTCCGTCTGCCTCCGCAGAGCTGCGCCCTGTCGCTCAAGCTCCGCCCTCAGCTCTCCGAGCTGGTGGCAGTATTCAGCTTTCTGATTGGCCAATTCCTCCGCGAGCTGCTCACACTTCCTGTCGCTGCAGAAAGAAGCGACCGGGCAAACAAGTCACGTGAAAAGCTTGAGTTGGAGTTGGGTAGCCACACAGAACCCACAATCTGAAATCATTCCGCCAGACCCCTTCCGATTGGATGTGCCTTCTAATGTCATCATGACATCATTCTTGAACTGAGCGTTTTGCATCTTTTGTTCCGTTCTCTCTCTGGCTTGTTTTTGAGCCAGGAAAAAGCTTGAACTTGTCAGTAATTTGCTCATTCATACCTGCGCATCTTTTCTTGCATCATTTCCTGGATGACTTTGGACTTGTGGGCGGAGCTCTCCACAGCCGCCTGGCACTCCTTTTGCAGTTGGGCCATGTTGGCGTGGAAGGCGCTCGGGTCCTCGCCCTCCTGAATCGACAATCGTTGGATCAAAGCGTGGCCGCGCCCTCACCCCGCGGACGTACGACGACACACTTGTCAACGACGACAATAACCTCCACTTCCTGCGCCTTGGTTTTGGCATTCCGTTGGTCCTCGAGGTACCGGAGGCGGGCCTCGGCGGCGGCCAACTGATCCTCGGCGACGGCCGCGCGATGCGCTTCCTCTCGCAGATTGCGCTCCAGGGAACTGGCCTGGCGGCAAACAAACAAAGGAAGGAGGGTGGGAGAGATGAGGAGGCACACACACACACACACACACACACACACACACACACACACACACACACACACACACACACACACACACACAAACGACAAGAAAGAAACAAAGAGACAAAAAATATGAGGCGTGAGACAACCAAAAAGAAAGACAAAGAAAGCCATGAAAAGGAAAAAGTCTTTTTTTTTCTGACCTGCGTCTGCAGCGCAAAGATTTTGTCAACGAGCGCGTTGTTGCTTTGAGTCAGTCGGCAACTTTGGCGTCGCGGCGACTTGGCGGGCAACAATGAGGCGCCACACTTGCTGGACTCGCCCTCTTTCGCTGCACCCAGGAAGGAAGCAGAGAGTAAGTGACATCAGCGCCGGCCCATTGGACAATCGCCGTAGCGCGCGCCTACCCATCAGCCTGCCGCCGGCGCCAGGCGAGTTGTCCTGCCGCAGGTTTTCCAGGCCGCCTACCGGGAGCGGCCGCGGGCCGGTGAGCGACAAAACGCTCCGCCTCCGTCCTTCCTCCTCTGTGTCGTCGTCCTCCTCCTCTTTGTCATCGCCGCGCCGCTTCCTGGCGGACGCGCGGTCAACCTGCTCACTCGGACGACGACAAAATGAAAGGACCAAAGAAAGAAAGAAAAAGAAAGAGACAAATTTAGCTGGCGGTGCGGGGGGGGGGGGCTGTTGTGGGTCAACGCTGAATGCAGAGGAAGAAAGCGCTCACCTGATTGGCCAGCAGCAGTTGCCGTTGCACGCTCTGAGCATCCACTCGGATCTTCTGCAGGTCTTGTCCCACCAAGCTGAGGACTCCCTCCAGAAGCGCCGCCGCCTGCCCCTCCTCCTTCTCCTCCTCCACGGTGGCATCGGGTTCTGTCAGTCGGCGCCATGCCACACACGCGCACACAACAGTTGCACTCACCCGAGCGGTCTGGCTGAGCAGGTTCTTGAGGATCTCCAGCCTCCTCTCGGCTCGCTCCTCCAGGATCTCTCGCTCCTTCTCCAGACGCTCGCTGGTCAAGGCGCAAGCGGTGAGTGGCCGTTGCGCCGGTGTGGGCGTGGCCCGCTCGGTGCCCGTGGCTCACCTGTAGTCTTTCTCCATCTGCTTGAAGATCTCCATGAACTCGGCGCAGACTTCCTCTCTGATCTGAGCCTCGGCAACCAAACGGAAAGTCGCCTCCTTGTCCAACTGGCACGAATACAAAACCCAGAAAAAAAGGGAAAGAGTAAAAAAAAAAAAAAGCAACCGAAAGAGCACTATTGACACTGAAATTGATGAGATACCATCAAAGCCTTCCGAGCTATTATGCTAATAATGCACAGACCCCAAAGAGACAGTGGCCACTTGTCACGCTAATAAAAGAAGACCCTCTACCTTGTCCTCTTCCTCTATGGTCCCCTCCCCTTCCTCATCGTCGTTCTCATCTGCTGCCTTGAGCACCGTTTCGTCCTCCATGCCACTCTCGTCGACGTCGTCCTCCTCCTCCCCATCGTCCTCCATGACGTCCTCCAAGGTGCTCTCCCAGGCAACCATGGAGCTTTTGCGTCCGCGCGCCAACACGTTTCGGCGCTGGTCGGCCTCGTTGATGAGGACGGACACTTCCATGGCCGACCTGAGGGAGGCGTCGTCCGGGCTGGTCGGCCTGGAATTCAACATCACCACCTGGAGAACGGCCAAGAAAAAGAAGTGAATGGTCTGAGAACCACTCGCTCATAACAAAAAAAAAAGAGAAAGGTACCACACCCTGAAAAATGTTTTTTTTTTTGTTTGTTAGCTAGCTGGGGAACGGGAATTCCTTTACTTCAATGCCCAATAAAAGTTAAGAAAATAAATAAAAGTGCACGTGCAACCTTCTGGGCCAGAGCGGAGAACTTGAGGACGTTGAGCGTCTCATCCACGCAGGACAAGTTCTGGTTGATGTTGACCACCATGGACACCTTGCCGGCACTGCAGAAGAAGACCTGCAGGAAGTGGGTCAGCTTGGACTCCCTGAAGGGAATGTGCTGCTGGAACCTGCGCGCAAACAATTGGTCGTGAAAAACAAAAAAAAAACAATTCGAGCTGCGAGCGGTGACGAACTGGCCCTGGCGCCCCCCCCCCTTTTTTTTACGGCAC